TGCACAGCCCATTTTCACCTTCCTCCAAAGTCCCCACAAAACATGGGGGGGCCCTAGTGGCCGAGGGATCTTAACAGCCCCTCATGCCCGGCAGAAGACGAGACAGACGCGCGCGGTGTAGGGGGTAAAACCCCTGCACCGTAACCCTGGCGAAAGAAAGAGTAATCGAGTGTTCGCTGGTGTGAGCCACAGCACAGAGCCCAATTCGGAAACAAAACGGAGCCACCCGGCAAAAAGCCTTAAAGCGGGGGGCGAAGCGATGAGGCACGAGGCCGGGGGTTTGTTGGGGTTGTATAGTATAAAAGGGTGGGGGATCAACGAGTACAGCATCGAGAGTTTCACACAAGACTGTGGATCCAGTGCGCATCCGTGCGAGGGGCCGGGCCCTGTCCGTCGTTTGGCTGCCGACTAGACCCAACAACCAGTGCGCGTGCGCGTGCTGGGGCTTTGCTCTCCTTGACTGTGTGGAAGAAGAGACAGCGACTCATTGGTAGCCTTGGCCCTTGGACTGGATTCGGATTGTCCCAGCCAATCATACTTTGGGAGAGGGTGGCACAAGCGGAATGGTTTCTGTTTGGTGTAGCACAAGTCGGGGCCCAAATCTGCAGTGTGACCCGGTAAATGTTCGACCATGCAGTTGCAATGCTGCTCCCAGTCCACGTGGTACTCGAAACGGCTCGGTCCTAGAGTCATGAACTTCCGTAAGAAGCTTGTCAGCGACATCAAAAACACGTGGACCAACAGCGCAGTGCCGCCTTGGAAATGAAGGACCCCCTGCTACAAGGCTTGCGAAGTTGTTTTGGTGTTCTTCCCGGGAGCCCGGAGCGGAGTCGGCCAGAGACTCCATGCGGACCAGACTCGGACGGCATAGCGCATGCAGTGGAGACAGGCTTCGAGCCTCTCAACAAGCACAACCCGTGTGTTGATGTGTGTGAGGTTTCAACATAACATAATACATTTACCGGATCGCATCTACAGGGTTCTTTGATTGAAGACCAGGCTGGGAGCACTGCTGGCAGCACACGCTTGCCATCAAGTCGCAGCAGCCCGGCAGCGACCCGCTGACGATGATCCTCTGGCTGTCCCTGCAAAAATTCTGAGCTTGAGCATGGTATGTAGTGAGCAACATTCCGAAGTCTGACGTCTCCTGGAACTCCCTTGATGCATGTGCTGCCTCACGGTCATCTAAACCTCCACACTAAACTTTGCAGCAGCGCAGAGGACGCACATGCTGGGTGGACGTTTGGGAGGTGTCCTTTCAAATCTTCTCTAAACTCCCTTCTCCAACGCAACATGTTTTGCCCAAACGGGCGGCATAGGCTTTTCTTGCAGCTCAGATAGGGCGCGATGTGGCTTCGGGACGAGCGATTTGAACTTTCCAAGTGAGTTAATGTATCGTACCGACTCCGTAGATCAGCCAGCAGACTGCACATGTCAGCTGAAGGCAAGACTGCCTTTGGAGTCGAAGTGGTCCAGCACCAGCTTTGACATGAGGGACTCAAAGAGACCCCTGCACAAGCTGCAGGGTCCTGAGCCACAAATTTTGTGATGACGTTGGAGCTTTGGCCGCGTCGTCTCAGAGGAGACTCCGGGGGTCGTAAGCCAAGCGCAACAGTCACTTTTGAGTGCGCCGGCCGACTCTTCCGGACACGACTCCTTCTCAAACCACTCCGGAGGGGCGCGAGCTCTCGGAAAATGAGTTGTGAAAGTCATGAGATATAAACCCGAGGCATCGGTTTGTATCACATTCGGGAAGCTCTCGCAGGACGAGTTTGACGCGGTGCTTGGGTTGCCGGTCGTGGTCAACAAGCGCAGCTCAGCTCCGGTATGGCATCAGCTCCGTGACGTTAAAATCAATCTCGTGCTGCAATCTGCTTGGCTCAGGCTTCTTCTTGGCTGCCAGGGCCTGACACTCAAGCCGCCTACATGCGAGATGTTTTTATAGCAAGGTAGAGCACCCTATGGGAGTCGTGACCACGCACGGGAGCAGCGATTCGCTACTGGGCCACTTTCATCGGCCGGGATTGAAGGTTATGTTATTATGTTGCATGCACGTTTGTTGAATGTCTGCAGTTCCGTTGGTCAGACCTGAAAACGCTGGAGGCCAGACCTTTACACAGGACAACTGCAGCACCTAAAGAGCTTGGCGAAGCCGACAAGCGAGGCACACAAGACATCCGGACGATTACAGATCGCTTGTGCACATGGGTAGTCGTAGCCTTCTGCTCTTGGTGGCGACTGTCCCGCCAGGTACCCTGGGATTATGGTTTTGTGATCGGTGGTTTCAGCGAAATGTCTCAGGACCGCGCCTTTTGTTCGGACGCAGAGACGTGTGTCAAGACCCGGTGCCCGTCGCCCAGGCGCGAAGATCATTCCTTGGCTACCTGCACTCACAGCGGCCGGGCCGCCGAAGCCCAATGGCGGGATGCCAAGTGAGCTTCGGGATGCGGCGAGTATTGCGCAGCCCACAAAACGAAGCTTCCCTGAGTTCGGCCAGGTCCATTACAACAGCTGGTACGATTTCTACAGTTACCAGGAGCTGCAGGCTATGGCCTTGCATACCGGATGACGGATGCTTTTCCCAGGACGAGGGCTTCAATGGTGGCTTCAAGGACTGCAGGTTCTCTCCGACCATGGGGTCCGAAAGCCCCTCTTCTCTCTCCAGGATCCGTGGCCCAACGAGACCTTGATATCTTCGCTGCGGCCAGACAAGATGAGTGAAGGCGCCAGTGTGCGGGAGGGTTTCCAGAAACCAGGGTCAGGCTTTCAGACAACCAACAGCAACTGTCCGAGCAACGTGCCAGGCACACCGTAGACATGCCAGTCTACAGAGGGTCTACATCACGTCAACCCGTCTCCAGAATGCAGGCAGCTGTTTGCAAAGGGTCGAGGCCTTCGGTGAGGAAGTGGTCCGAAAGCGTGGTGCGAAACTGGACTGCTCAGTCAGATGCGATATGTCCCGCACTGCTCTTCAACATGCTTGTCGTTAGGTGGTCGGGTGTGAGTCTCCCACAGTGAATTGCTGCAGGACTCTTTTCTGTGGGATGATGGGTGGGACAATCCACAGACACTCTGGGAATTCGACGCAGCTCGATTTCCTCGACGCTTTGAGAAGGTTGCCAGCAAGGCCAAGGAGTATGGAGCTGGCACAGGTGTTTGGCTTTCGCCTTGGGGTGGCTATGGCTTCACCCAGGAGGAAAGAGTGAAATACGGTAAACGTCAAGGCTACGAAACAAATTACAACCGCAATATCCAGTCAGAAGCATTCAGCCTCGCAGGGAAGAAATACCGAAAGGCATTTCATGAAACTGCCATGAGCTTTCGGCGTGAGCAGGGCGTTAACATGTTCAAATTTGATGGTGTGGCCGGCAATCCCACGGAGCTTGGTATGGAGATGGAGGCAATGTTGCAGACAATTGCAGCTCTGCGAAGCGAGAAGGTGGATAAGTCTTCTGACGAAAAAGATGAAGATGATGTTTGGATTAATCTAACCACTGGCACATGGCCTTCTCCCTTCTTCCTGTTCTGGGCAGACTCGATCTGGAGGGGTGGTCCTGACATAGCCACGAGGCCACGAGATTGGTACGGCCCTGTGAAGGCGCCGGACCATTTCCAAAAAGGGCACTTCACTTTGCCATCACTGAGCGAGATAGGTTTGGACGGCCTAACTGGTCGACAGCGATGGATTCGGTGGCGAAGTATGGTTGTCTACATGTTGGTCGCGCGTAGGTCAACCTTTTTCCCTCTGTCCCAGCTCATGATCCACGGAGTCGTCGTCGCTTCCCACGGTGATGCCTTGCATTGGGAGCTGGACAAATACGACAGTGTCGATTTCACACAAGAAGTCTGGTCATTTGTGGCATTGGGACTGCAACTGCAAGAGCTGTACGTGGCACCCCGTCACATGACCACTGAGGCATGGGACATATTGGCTGAGGCGTTGAAGTGGTCGCGCCAACACGCAGCAATCCTGCGCGACAGTCACTGGGCGTTCGGTGACGTCACCAGGTACAAAGTCTATTGCGTGGCCTCGTGGGACGTCGTGAGCAAGGGTGGGCATATGCTTTTCCACAATCCTTCAGGCAGGATGATGTTCAAAGCTTGAGTTGATATTGCCAGTATCGAACTTGACAGGAGCTCCGCAAGCCAGCGCGTGACCTAGCCTAGTTGAAGAGGAGTCAGTAGGTCACTTGCTTGAGGCGATTGTAGTTCCTTTCTTCGTCCTTTGCTCGTGGCTGAAGGCAGTCGCTTCAACTTGAACGAGGCCAGGCTCTGAGGCCATGCACAGGGGCCTCAATGCCTTTGCTGAGCTCAGGTCTTAGAGCTTCCGCTGGCCCAGAGGAAAGAGACCTTCACTGTCACCTTGGTGAAAAGCGCCTTTCGTCCAACAGCGAAATCGCCAGCCCCTCAACAAATATCCGATCTTTCAAGTTCCGTGTCTTGAAGATCAGGGAAGCCATTGAGCGCCTCCCTGGATGGAACTGCACATCGCGGCGAGCTCATTTTCATAAGATCGCAAGGTTAGGTGATGTGTCAGTCTGCACTCAGCTACCCAGACAGCACATGTCTCAGGACATTCCACGAAGGGAGCGCATCCGCATGCAGGCTGCCGGCTTTGAACATGAAGTACTGGTGTGATTGGAAATATACACGGCGTGAGGTTGCCACCTGCTGCACAAGTTCAAGTAGTCCTTGAAGCGACGGAGGCTGGCCACAGTTACAGGCAAGCTGTACTTTGGAAGGTAATTAAGCTCACGCTTGCCAGGTGCTGGTCCTGTCCGTGGCGAAACAAGAGTGAGTCATTCGCTATCAACCTCAAGGCAGCATGCCGTTCGTGGCAGAAGGCCAAGCAATTTAGGTTTTGTGGTTGCTCCATCATGTCGACAACCATCCGACCATTGCCGAACCGTGTACAGCGGCGGAGCAGCACATCAGCACAAAAAGTCGTTACTTGTCATCAGTCTGCATTTTCGGGTAGACAATTGCTGGGAATGCGCCAGGCAAAAGCTTGCCTCGTAGACGCCCAGCGAAGTGGAGTCGAGAACCCAACCAAAAAGCTCTGCTAAAAACTGCTGCGAGTGGCGGCTCTGGCGACTTGGCGACCAGAAAGCGAGGTCGTCCAGATGAGGAGCGGCCGGAGCGGGTCTCCGCTGCGCTGTCTTCAGAAGACCTCGGCTTGGATGCCTTGGCTGCAGGCCACCGGCCCGGCGCTGCTACGGTCATCTCTAGTTTATGGCTGTCAGGGACGTGGCACACAGACGGTTTGCTGCAGTGGGCTTTGCCTTCGCTTCTGCAAAACATCGAATTGACTCTGGCCCATGGTTTTCATGTTCTGATAGACGTAGTCATGGTCGTGATGGCGATGACCAGCTTCATGCAGCTCCACGCCCAATGTGTTTGCAAAGCCTGGTTTGAAGTAGCCGTCAGGCCTTGAGGATTGGGGTTCGGCGTGTGCCCCAGAAGCCAAGCTGACTCTGTCAAAGTCAAGCAGCCTCTCACACCAGGCTGTGGATTTGGTGCGGCTGGAGATTCGAATGGAAGGCCAGGCTTGCGACCGAGTCGAGCGAAGAACGGGAACGTTGCTCGTCTTCCAAGGCCTGGAGCAGCTTCCCACGCTTTCCAGAGTGCCTCAACTGCGTGCCCCAAGCCCAGTCCAGTGAGGACAAGGGCTGAGTCCGTGAAATCTTTTTTGCGAGATCTTGGTGCTGAGCGGCAACAAGATTTCAAGCCTGGTCCGAGCCCTGGGGCGTGGGCCCTTGCCTGCTGCGGCCTCATGAGGAGAAGTGCATTGTCTGAGGAGGCTCTGCAGGGCTGTCCCAAGCTTGAGGACGATCCTAGCTGTTCAAGGTGTGAGCGAAGCTTTGTGCGAAGAAGGAGTTGGTCCTCTGCCAGAATGCGCTCACGTGCTTGGATGGGTCGACGGCCTGGAGTTGGATGGAGTGAATTGAAGCGCACGACTGGCCTGCGTGTTCCAAGGTTGCGGCATCTGAGGCACCTGTCAGCACTGGGCCCAAGTGCCAGGACACAACGCTGCACAATCCTTCATACTGGCTTCTGCCCTCAGCTCTAAAAGATGCAGTGACACACATGATGAGGTCCTCAAGGCGACGATGAACGCCATCACCGATGCAGAGGCATGATGAAAGCTGGCGGGAACTGTGGGCAATAGCTCCTGCCATGGATGGAGGATCTGGCACAGCTGCCACAGCTTCGTGTCCCCGTCCCAAGCCAAACACTTAAAGCAAGACCGCAGAAGTGTCCGTGCTGTTCATTCCAGGTGGTGGATCTCAGCAAGAATCGTTTGACCTCAGTCCGGATGCCTGGCTGCGAGTAGAGTCGCAGCGGCACGGTGCGGCTACGCAATGTCGCCCAAGGTGCATCTCTCGGCAAAAGGCCTTGGCAAGCCTGGCGCAGAGATGAAGTTTGCTTCGGTAGCAGCCCTGACGATCCAGCTTCCGATGGGCGCTACCGAGGCTTGTTCTGTACAGAAACTCCTTGCAGTCGGCCGGCTTTTTGCAAGAGCTGCCGAAGACTCAAAACGGGGTCGCCCTTATCGTTGTGCTATGCTCATGCATTTTGTGCATTCGTGATGAGGCCATCCTTGACCCAGCTGGACCTCGGACGAAATAAGCTCACGGAGCTGGATGCTGCAATCTCCGAGTAGCCTCGGCTGCATTTTGCCCCGGTGTCGTCTGGAGATTGCGGAGTGTGCCAGGTGGAACCCCGTGCTTACGAAAGCTTTCCTCTACGAGAACTCTTTGGATGGGCCCTCGGATGCCCTCCGAGAAACGGAGGACGGCACGCTTTTTGCCCGAGCCAAGGTTTCGCTTCCAGAGCTCCACCTGCCTTTGCTCACCGATCTTTGGGTCCCAAGTCCCAACCTGCTTTCACTTTCACTTTGCTGTGTCCCAAAAGACTGGGACTCGGACACGAGATGTTCTTGCTAGCGTCGCCGCTTGTTTGTGCAGCCCTCAAGCGCATCGGAGGGTTTCAGTGCTAGATAGTGGTAACCTCAGCCGACAACCAGCTCAGACTCAAGCTCAAGATGCACCCAAAATGCCGTATCAATGTATCGACAAGTGAGCCTGGCAGTGACATGTAAACACAACACTGAGCGAGCCGAGAGCTTGTCAGCATAATGGAGCTGTGGCCTTGTGCTCACACCCGAGCCTGCTGCGGTCGGAGACCTGGACACAAGCGGTGTTAGACTTTCTGGTGTCTGCCGTGCATCCATAAACTGTGCCGCCCGGCCGTGGACCGTGCACGATATTCCGATACGCATGAGCTCGTCGGCGAAGAAGAGCATGAAAAAGCAAGTCCAAGTTGCACCTTGGGCTGGATTTGTGCAGGTTGGGCCTCGCTCCGTGCAGCAAGCGACTTCGATGGCTGCCGAGACCTCAGCCAGGGTGACCAGGCGATCCTCTCAATGACTGCTGCTTCGGTAGTGCGTGAGCCACCAGATGATGCTTAGGCCGAGGATTTTCACGGAGAGGAAGACGCTCCTCTGACACCCGAAAGGGTGAAGGCGAGGACAACGACGTTTGCTAAGATGTCTGGAGCACCAAAAGCCAGAGCTGAGAGGAGTTCAAGAACCCCAAGTTTCAAAAACTGGTGGAGGTGCGCCCGCAGCGTTTGATAGCGATTGTGCAAAACCAGCTGCCCGATCTGATGACAGGTGTACAGTAACGGCTTGAAACCGCTTGCCGGGATTCCCAGCTCGCGAGGGGCTCCCGGCAGAGTCGGCCTGGTTTAACGCAAAGGTTCAAGAGAACATCCGCTTGCGAGAGGAGCTTGGCCTAGATCTGGCCGGAGCCTTTGGCCGATGCTGTGCAGTGTAGGATGTGACAGCGACGTTTTCACTTAAGCGACCTCCTGGTCGATGCACCCCGGAACTCGGATGTGCATTCGACACAAAGACAGAAGCTTCAGGGCTTCAGTGTCACCTTGGACGACCGCGGGGATCCATGCATTCTTTTTGCATTGAGGGGGGAGGGAGAGGAGAGGAGGCCAGGCGCTGGTGCTGGCGAGAGCACACCGACGTAGTCAAATGCAAAGGAATAATCAAGACATTCTCCTTTCACGCACAAATGGCGATGCATGGGCTTTCCTAGTCATGGAGATGTGCAGCCCAAGAGCCACCACTCTGAGGATACTCCACTGGACTGGGATTCGGATGAAGATTCCGGCGATGAAGAGCACCCGCTGCAGCAGGCCCTCGGGAAATTATTCTGTGAGCCGATCTCTCAGGGATTCCGCGTGAGGTCGGCTCGCATGCATCAGCTGCCAGCTCAGTGTGGCAGTCTCGATCCTGCGAGAATGGGAAAGGGCCTTCAGAGCAAACAGCTAGCAATTGGCGTGCAAGCACCAAAGCCGTGAATTTGCGGGGCGCAGTTGATGCGGATGTGCATCCTCCCCGGATATCGAGCCTTAGGGTTTCCCCTAAGGGCTTCGTGGAGCGCGCCAGATCGGAGCCTGCAAGAGTACGAAGTCAGGCGCAGGTGCGGACCATGTGTGGAGTGTGCCTTGGGGATCATCGAGCTGCTCCTAAGAGTTCCTAAGAGTGCCTGTCGCGCGCAGACAACCGCTAGAAGCACTAGAGGGCGGATGTCAGCTGTTCAATGTCCTTTGCGTTTGACCAGGATGAAATCGAAAGCAAAAAGTCGTCTTGACCTCGGTTGTTCGCCATGTTTGTCGGGTAGTCCAGTGATCCCAGACTCCTTTCAGGTCGTCGTTCAATTCAGACCGGTATCAAGTACTGCCTCAGCCTGCAGCTCAAGCTTGAACTCGACTGCTTGCATCGGACATATGATCGGGCTCGATTGTGCCACTCTTTCCTTTCAGGTTCTTGAGCACACCGCTGGATAAGGCAACAGAGCGACAATTCAAGGCAAGTCAGGGGCTAGGAAATCCGTCATGTCGATAGTGTGAAGCCTTTTGATTTTGAGGCCACCTTGGTGCAAGACCTGCGCCGCTTTTCCGAAGCGGGGGAGATGCAACCTTTGGGCCAAGATCGGCGGATGAGCTGGTACGACCTCTTTGTCAACACCTTGAGCCAGCTCAGGCCATATGCCCTGGTATCACTTTCTCCGATCGAGTCTTGCCCCGTGCTGCAAAAACCTGCAGCCCTGGAGGCTTCCGATGAGCGCTGACCCCGGGAAACTCGTGACGTGCGAGGATGCCCTGAAGAGAGACGCTTCTAGTACCTCGTGGCTGGGCCTCAGGTCCAAACTCGGAAATTGCTCTTGCCTGGGACATCCTCGGTCCAGGCCTTGGAAGGAGCCGAGGAGCCTGGTGTTGAACCACTTTCCACTTCGCTTCCGTATCTTGCGAGGTTTATTGCTCATTGCCTACGACGTTTTCGCTATCCCCTTGCAGGCATTCCCGCTGGACGAGGAAGCCGGCGGGATAGCGTTGGTTTTGCTTCGGCACTATGACAGTGCTGACGGTGCTGCTACTGTTCTTTGTGCCGGTCCTCGCGGACTGCAGGACGTCTTCACCGAAAGTATGGGTTGGATAACGCTGTGCTTCTGGACGACTGACATGGCACCTGAGCCGCATTTGGATCCTCGGGGGTTGTTGCGAAAGCGCGAGCTTAGGTTGTGAGCAATATCGTTGGCTTTTTTGACGGACCTCAATTGGTGATGCAGCAGTATCGCATTACGCTGAGCCGCTATTCTGCAGGTTCAGCTCTTTTTTAAGCTCTTTATGTAAGCATACAATGTCTTAGCTTTTGAACGTTCGGACCTCTTTATGACAGCGGTGATCGATCATGGCTACCAATTGGCAGTGTTGCTATGCTGAGGATACTTGCGAACTTGGTTTGTGCTGGATGCAGTGGTTGTAATACCTGATTGGTTTACAAGGCTGGCGCAGGAGCCGGTGCAGGGGCTTGAACAGCCAAAACGACGGGTGGAGTAGGCACAAGGGTGCACAAGGCTTCGATCTTTGTCCACGTAGCATGTATGTATATATATATATGTGTGTGTGTGTGTCCATATTTACGCATGCATGTTTGTCCATCATGTATGCATGCACTTAGACATGCATGTGTATGTCCGCCTGCCTGCCTGTCTCTCTGTCTCGCTGCCTTGTCTCTGTCCGGTTTTATTTGTCTTTGTCTGTCTGTGTCTGTCTCCGTCTGTCTTTGTCTGAGTGTCCGTCTGCATGGCCATATGTCTGTTTCTCGGAGTCGTTTCTCAACAACCCCATACACTACGGACTGAGCCCGGCGGCTCTCAAGTTATCGTGAACGTTCAAGCGCTTGTTGCATGACAGCTGCACTTGCACATTGTTTCTACGCACACGACTCGGCGAGTGCTGGACGGTTCCATGCGGTTCATAAGTTTTCGCTTTGCTACATTGTTGTGGAGGACAGCAGCTCTGCCTCTCGGTCAGCAGTGGATAGCAGCAGCTTCAAGTGAGGCACTTGCCTTCTGGCCTTCCCTCACGTGTTTGCTGCAGGGCTATTTGGCAAGCCTTGGGAGAATCCTTCGATCTGCACGTGCCATTCGAGTCATCCGGCTGTTTCTTGGTCGGCACATGTCGGCACTACCAGTAGTGCGCAGAAGGAGTAGTACAGGAAGTTTTCCAGATCAGTCCTCGGTCATTCAGCATCCGCGCATCCTGCTTGTATTCCTTTCCAAATCTGACATCTGGAATTCCTAATCGAAGATGTTCGTGGTGGCAGCTCCGACAGCATGTTCAAGGATCCGAAAGCAAAAAGGCCAAGCTCAGAGCCCCGTGGATCGGGATCGGAAGAGCCGTGGGACTCTTAGGAAGGCCTGGAGGCATCGGCCGGAGCTGCGCATGGGGCACAGCGCTTCAGCCTCCATGGAGCAGATGACGGCTTTGCGGCCTTGTGATGCCTGAAGGACAAGAAGCATTTCAAACACCAAACCTGTCCAGAAACAGAAACTTCACATAACCATGCATGAGTCGTTCTTAGGCGCGAGCGCGCTGCCTCGGGCGAAGGGCTCGTCCTCAAACTCGAATCTGTGTGTTTGTCATGGTTTAGTGTCATAACTAGTCGCCTGCACAACCACGGCTAATTTGCCAATGCCTGCAGACTCTGTATGTCGGTCAGCCTGCGTTCCCGTCGGTATCTGTGTCCCTACAGGGTGCGCGACGATCACCAGTTCATGGGCATTAGAAAAGCAGCTCCCACCTGTTTACCATGCTCCCTGAGGCTTCGTTTATTGAAACTCCAAAAGATGATGAACAAGTTGTATGCGGCCTCTTTGCATATAGCCTATCGAGAGGACGCGGATCTGAGACTCCAGTCGTGCTGACATCTGAGGACTTCATTGATTCCGAGTATCTGTTTATTGTTATGGATATACTGCGGCTATTGCTGTTCATTGTGGCTGCTTGTCGCCAGTTGACCCGGTAGATCCCACAGCGGAGTGAAGCCACCTTGGAGGGTTTACATTTCACCGATCTGTTCGCTCAGGTTCTGAATCACGTTATCGCATGTTTGTGGTCCCTCCTGGGCTACATAGGCACGAGACACTTGATTTGCGAGCTTTGATTTTTTTTTTATGTTTGTCGTGACTGCCCCCGGCGCACAGGCTACGAAGCGCACGATAACAACTGGCTTGAAAATACTGGGTACACCAAGGTGCCTAGCTGTAGCTGATTTGCTTCAACGAGAGATTGATAAAGCCAGTCCGTGCCGAAATTTGTTGCGAACTGAGGTGATTGAAGGTTCAATTATATGGCAGTACACCACTGCTTTGCATTGGAGTCTGACGCAGTTCACTCCAGCAGGCACCTTCATCCTCGTCGCGTTTTGATCGGTGTGACAGATTGCGGGCAAGAGCAAAGCAACTGCAGCAGTCCCTGCGATCTTCACGGAGTTGCCTCAAGCAGCTTCAAGCTGATACTGCCTCTAGCAAGAAGGTCTGGAGCCTGTGGCGTAAGATGCATAAAGCTGAGGCAAAAGAAAGAACGCCGCCCCACATCTGTTGCAGTGCTGCCTTTCTGGCAGGCATGGACGTATTCGCACGGAATGTCCCAGAACGCATCATGTCCGTCATCGTTCTCGGCTTTGCGGTCATCATCTTTTCTTCAGTTCTTGCCAGTGCCCCCTGCCTAGACGGTCTAACAGGCGCTGACGGCAGTCTCGGACGGTTTCAGTTTGCACGGTGTGCCAACCTGCAATCTCCATGCTGATGGCCACATCAAAGATGCTGTTGTGTTGAATTGCTTGCGGAGCGCATGCAAAGGTCAGCGCATCGATGACAGCTTTGAGAAATCTGCAGGTGATGCGCAAGATTGCCTCCAGGCAGCACGGAATCAAGACTAAGTCTGTGTCCACATTGACAGGGAGACTCGAAGAAGCAGTTTTGGCTCCTTCGCAGATATCTACGGCGAAAGCAGGCGCGCTGGTGTTTGCAAGCGCAGCTGTACTTGGAGATAGGCAAGGTTTGCAGCAATTGTCTGCGAGAGGTCACCACACAATCTCGGGTCCGAATCATCAAGTTCTTGGAGCACGTCGTCATGCTACAGGCAAGCTGAGCCACTAGACAACTTCTTTCGGCTAAGGCAGTGCTGTGCTGTGACCAGGCAAAAACGGTGAAGTCCAGTGACGTTTCCCTTCTGGGGAAGCTGTCTGAGCCTCTCAAAGAGCTTCTGGAGTATGAAGTCCACAAGGAGACTGCACTCAGCTCAGCCTCCGCATTGAAAGGCCTCACAATCCACACATGCACTCGGCATGTGCTGCCACCAGGTCATGCTCCACCCCTTCTTCCACTACCTGGGTGAGTGCGTTCATTCATTGATGGTCTCGTGCTCAATCATATCGACTCAAACGCAGAAGCAGCGAAATTTCTCTCCCAGAAACTTGTAGGCGGAATAGGAAAGGCTCGAGTCGCTGTGGGGTCGTGACGAAATGCCACACAATCTGACGGTTTTGCCATTAGCCCTGTCCCCAGGCACTCAGGAAGTCAAAGACATCCATGCTTTACTCATTGTGGCTTATGTGGCTTTCATTTCGCTCAGGCGGTGCTCGATCCAAGCTAAAGTGGACGGCCGGTGCGATATGCGGCGGCGTTTGCACAACAACAAGAAACGAAAGCAGACGAGCCCCACCCAAAACTTGAAATGGCCAGACGAGACCAGGCACCATACCAATAATTAACTTATCGTATCTTGAACGGAGAATCTGTTTTGGCGCAGTCGTGATTTTGATTCTGAGGCCAAAACCTGGAGCGTAGGAGAGGGAGGTAGCGAGGTATCCCGCTCCTCTTCTCGATGTTCTAGGCGGTGAAGCCTTTAGGGTCAGGGGACAGCGACATTCCAAGCTTTTGGCGTTTACTGCAAGTCGAGCTCCCGTTGTGCCAGCGAGCAACCAGGTCAAGCTGTGTGCGGCCACGCTAGCGCAGGCAAAGCTATCGCGTGTGGCATTGTGGCAAGGCTGCAACTTGTCGATCCGAAAGCTGCACGTCACACAGTGCAGGTGCAGTTCGCGCTTCAAGACTGCATTTTTCGAGCTGGACGCTCTCAAGCATATAGACGGGCTGGTCTTCTTCGGGCAGTGGCAATCCCCATCAGCTGCTTTGGTCTTACATCCCATGCCCGAGCTTCAGTTCTCAGGGGACTCAGAGTCTGGAGCAGACTTTCGAGAGGGACTCGTGAAATCTCGTGAACACTTATCATACCTGTGCGGTACATATTATGTATACAGTTACAGTATACACGCATACGACACAGTACACCACACTACAGTACCTGTGAGCATTGTATACACACATACGAAACGACCTCACAATGCAGACTCTTACGTGCATGCAATACCGTACCATACGATACTGTTCGAAACGAAGCAATGGCAGGCGAATGGAGATCGCCTACGTAATTAAGTACACGCGTATATGCATTCTTTCGTTCTGCGTGTGCATGTAAAACACGTCAGTGAAGCAGAAAGCATGGTCCCGGGTATTGGCCCTAGGCGCGACGATTTTGCTGTAGTAAAGGTTCATGGGAGGATGCGCAGCGGTGCAGCGGGGTCCAGGAAGACGATCTGGCAGAACACATCTTTCGATTATCCTACCGGCCTATCTTGACTATGTGAGCCAGTGATGATTTCACTACTGCTTGTTTGCGAGGCGACCTGGGTGAGCACATGTATTTCATTACCAGCCGAAGCCTGAGACAGCTTGTGCCGGCGCTCCTTACAGCTCCCTGCTGTACTATTCGGTTTTTGTAGAAGCCCAAAGTGGGCATCGAAGATCCATTCAGCGGATGCTCTAGCAGAAGTAAGCAGCGGAGACAGAGCTTGACATTACTATCTAAGTCGCGCAAGAACACAGTTCAAAACTGCCTCCGTCCACAGCGTAGCACTCAGGTGGAACGGCCAAGTACGCATACCAGGTCACAAAGATGCAGAGATGTGAGGCATGCACTGCGTTGTGCTGCATTGGGAATTTGGACGTTATTGGGATCCTTTCGCCTTAGATTTCTGCACCTTCCGCCACTGAACCATTCTCCACCTGGATTCATACCAAGCAGAGGAGCTGCACGAGGGGGATTGGATGGCTGAAGCTTCCTTGTGGACCCAGTGGAGTCATCGTGGACTGCGCACTCCTCAGATAAAGGCGCGAAGCGCACGATAGAAAGCATCGCAAGTTCTGGAAGCATGAGGCTTGTGATTTCTTCCCAGCCCACGGTCTTGTTGTTGCTGTCGCCGCTGCCTCAGCGGCGTCAGCAAGCCATGCAAGCCTTCAGACAAACTCGCAAAGAGTTGTTCGGCGACTGAAGGTCGCAAGGCTTTGGCAACGTGATGCGGATGAGCCAAAGCTCTTACGTCCTTTGCAGGAACTGTGAGCTGTTTCATCGCATACGCGGATACGCCCGCTTGGACTTTGTGCAGGCGGTTCGTCTTTGCCTTTGTAGCTGAGCTAAACGCCATGGAGAGCAACTCGGCTGCCGAGCTTTGAAAAGGAACGCTTTGTTGCAAGAGCTTCTGCTTGTTGCAACCCGCCTTCACCGGATCTTGTCAAGGCAAAGGTGAGGCTTCTGATATGCCTTGGGGCCGGATCCTAAGCAGAGTAGCTTTAAAAGGGAGGCAAGAGAGCAAAGCAATCATGCCTGCAGCACCTCCAGCTAAGACCCCGACATCATCAACAAGATGACGCTGGAGAGCTCTGAATCAAGTGGGCTTGCAGCCATCCGGTCGCTTGCCTGTTTCGTTGGACAGGTCTGCATAGGAGTACTCGACAACTGTCCGTTTCTTCGTGCCGATCACCTCTCTGTCGCCACGGTCGTGATTCCTCTTCGTCTCCTCAGTGGAAGGCCATGCTCCCAGAAGTGCCCACCCACACCTCAACCCAGCCTTCCCCGTTCCACCGATCGAATCTGTCCCAGCCAAACATTGGTCAGGAGTTTTTTTTGCGCTTTCACATAGCGCTTCACGAGTTTTGTCACTCGACAAAAGCCCTTGTCAATGTGCTGACAGTTGTCTTTGCAAGCAGCACGCATACAATCCACGTGTAGGTGAAAAACATCTCGCAGTCCATCCCTTCTGCCTGTGTTTGCCATTGTTTGTAGTCACAGCTGATTGCTTGCAGTGCAACAAGCAGAGCGAAACTTCTCCGTTCGTCTTGCTGGTTTTGACTTCGCAAGTCAAGTACGGTGTCGGACCATGTTGGGATGAGAGTAATGCCGACACGCAGCATGTCAGCATCATCAGCGTCGACGGAGCTCCCTCGATTGTGCCCAACATTACCCACACAAAGCTCTTCGAGTGATCAACCACGGAAACGCACTACACAAAACAACGGTCAACACTGGGTAGTGCTTGGAAAATCCGGCCTCGCAGTTGCACTCGATTCAACACTGTGCAGGCGTTCTGGACCAACGTTGTGTTGTGTTCTACCTTGGCCGAGACTCCAGACTCTAGCTGAGTCCCTCGCCCCATCTTTCCTAACATAGAACCCAGCGATGTGGAAGTCAACTAGGCGGAGGACGATGAAGCATTGACGGTGTGGTAGCAATTCAATGGTCGGTGAAGCTTGCCGACATTGTACATGACGCCTTCTGAGAGTGGGTTGGTTGTTTGCTGGCAAATGTCGGCAGCGACAGTTTCGACTGCCAATGTGCAGCTCTTCCCATCATGGAGTTAATGCAGCCGCCACAAGACTCAAGTAGCGGAGCAGACGCTGTGGTCATTTTCTAATCTGCTCAATGTCGACTTCAATCGTCTTCAGACTGTATATCACTTTCTTGGACCTTTCTGCCATGCAAGACTTCTCATGTTGTAACGAGACATTTCGCCACATTGGCGAGCGATTTCGACGATGCAGCAGAGGGCAGAAGTACTGCTCCTGGCCAGCGTTTGGAGCGACGATCTTGCACTACCAAGTAGGCAAGGAGAAAAGGAGAGACTCGTCTTGTGACGGTTGGGGAGATGAGGAGACTTTGATCTGTTTAGCTGCGGCCTCCGCAGGTCGATAACAATTTGCTCGAGCACTTGGGCTTCCTTGGCTTCTTGCCTTCCTTGGAACGGCTCCAGGCCCGCCCCAAGCGCACTTTCAATCCGACGCCGTATCCTGCGGTGGCAGGCCAAGCACAATCGGATCCGCAAGCTTTCCCTCCCAATTGCCGTTGGCCACCAAGAGAAGAGCGTAAGTGTGCTACGACTGCATCAATGCTCGCGCAGCATGGGGCCCAGGCCAGTCCGCTGCTCAAGACCTTGGAGCTTGTCGCTGCCCGAGTAGAGAAGCTTGCTGCAGCAAGAGGACTGTCCGTGAACGTCCGTGAATTTGCCTCCTTTGGAACGCTGTGCTTCAGCTTCAATACACGACAGATGCCGCGCGATAACTTGCAGTGCAAGTTTTGTGAACGCGACGCGGCAACAACCAGGAGTGCTATGTCTCAAAGTTGTGACCAGATGACGCTAGAAGAGCAAAGCGAGCAAAGAGCCGCAAAGAGCAGGTTGGTATTATGTTAAGTAGGCTAGCCGTGTAGGGCCTGTTGGGATGCCACATCCACCCCGGCGAGATGAGATTGTGGAGCTGCCAGCAGACTCGCCGCTGCCTGACTCCGGCGAGGACCTGCAGAAGCCTAGGGCTCTTAGCCAGAAAAGTGGAGCGGTCTAAGCCTAAGGCCAGGCCCAGCCAGGCAGCTAACATAGTCTAAGCCTCTTGATTGGAGTCTGGAGCTGAGTGCATGAGGAGATCGGTGAATTTACGCCTGCGTTGTTGCCTGGTGCAGTGGGAGTATCCTCTGTTATACATCCGCAGAAGTGGACTGAAGAGCAAGTCCGCGACTGGTGGGACAAGAGAACGAAGCGAACCAAAGATGTGGAGCCACTTTCCAAGGGAACAGATGGTCGCAATATCATGCGGTGGAATGTGAGCCGCTTCGAGCTGATGTGCAAAGGCGACAACAACCTTGCGGCAGCCCTGTATCAAGACTTGCGAAATGAAGTTCAACGCTTCGAGCACTATCGCAAGACCGGAGTTGTGCTGAAGGCTGCATCAATTTCTCCGAAGCCAGGGCCATGCCAAAGGCGACGGCCTTCCGTAACGCGATCCAAGGATTCCAAGCCCACGCCGACTGCCGCACAGACACAGCCGCTGTCCCGAAACGGGTTGCAGTTTAATCCTGCACCACGAGGGACAACAACCCTCAAGCCCAAGTTTCTCACAAGCAATCTAAATCTAGACCAAGGCGGCCAAAAGATTGCCGTCCAGGCACCACGCACTTCCGAACGGAAAGTTGCGAAGGTAGCACCTGCCCCCAAGGCTGCACAGCACCGAGCCTCAAGCAACGGAGCATCTGGGCGGCAAAAGCCTGCCTTTCGCAATCAAGGGACATCCAAGATGCCAGTCGAAACAGGGACAGCGGCTCGCAATGGAGAGAACCTCAATTTGGCGGAGATTCCAAATCGCGATCCGGTTGTTTCATTCAGTGAAGTGCCAGAACGTCGACGGTCCTTGGTCATGGAAGACATCAGCGATGGAAAGCTACACCAACTAAGCACAGCAACCCGAAGAGAGAAGGCAGAGGTTGAGAAGCCCAAAGCAATGGACGACACTGCCATCATACGGCGCACCAAGTCTGCTCGACTCGCTGCGGAAGCAAAAGGCAAGGAGTCAGAATCCGAGGATGCCACTAGACAAATGTTTGACAAGCGAGAGCTTCGCAAGAGACACAAGTGTGTGTACGAGCAGCATATTAAGTCTTGGTGTGAACGATATCCAAAAGAGGAATGCCCAGCACCCGAGCCTTGTCGGGTCCGAGTGTACGTCAGAAAGCGTCCCCTTTTCCCACATGAGGAGGAGGCAGACGAGTTTGATGTTACAACCGTGACCGGTCGAAAGGTCATCATCCACAACTGCTTGACCAAAGCTGACCTACGTTCCTTGTTTGTGTCTCATATGGGCTTTCAGTTCACAAATGCATTTCACGAGTCGGTGTCCGACGATGATGTTTACGAACATTGTGCAGGTGCTGCAGTTCAGCATGTCTTGGATGGCAACATTGCTGCACTCTTCATGTTTGGACAGACGGGGAGTGGCAAGACTCACACCATGAGTGGGCTTTTGCAAAGAGCTTCGGCGCATATTTTCCAACAGGAAAGTACAGTCACATTGACTGCCTTCGAGATAGCAGGCAAGGTGATGCGTGATCTTCTCGACACCAATCCGAAAGAGCTCAAAATTCGTGAAGACAAGAGTGGCAAGACACAGATTCTGGGGCTTCAAATGCATGATGTATCAAGCAGCACCGACCTCCTTCGCGTTCTTAAAGATGCGCAGGCGCACAGAGCTACAAGAGCCACGCAGGTCAACGAGACGTCTTCTCGCTCTCACGCAGTCTTCCGAATCTCACGTGAGGCCAAAACCAAGGACAGTGCAGCTACACTCACCCTGGTGGATTGTGCCGGCAGTGAGCGCAGAGAAGACACCACGCAGCATGATGCTCGCACCATGGCGCGATGCAAGGTTTCTAATCCCTTACCGCTAACGTTAAAGCCTTCCCTGACATTGAAACCTCTCGACCCCGGATTTTGCGGTGTTAGGCCCACAATTGAAGGTTAGTTTAAAGCATGAGGGGCGAGCTAGGATTGTATGAGGCTTACTGGAGCCAAGACGACAGCAGCACTAAACCAACAGGACCAGGGCTTTGCGGCTTAGGGCTTGGCTTCGGGCTTAAGGTTTAGGGTTTAGGGGCTTTTGGTTATAGGGCTTAGGGATTAGAGCTTAGGGCTCAAGGCTCAGGGGTGCGGGTTTCAACTTGTCTCTGTGCCTACGTATTTATGTATCTATCTATCACTCCATCTATCCAATTGACCCATACCCAGATGCCCCCCATCCCCCGTAATATCCCAAAATTCGGCCTTGGATTTCGGGTTTATTTTAGGGCAGGGGGCGGGCCTTTCACACTATAGCGGGCGCAGCCATTTCCTTTCCTCGCAACGGCTTACTTTATCATTGGCTGCATCCTCGAAACCCCGTTGATGCTGATGCGGAGATTTGATTTGAACCCTTCCGGATAAGAGTACACCTTTCCTCATTCAGCCGTCCGAGCATCGTGACCATGCATTGCTACTAGATCTTGTGGTGAGTTGGCACGAAGCTCAGGCAGCCGGAAAGATGCGGCAGAGATCAACTCGACCATCTTCGCACTGAAAGAATGCTTCCGCGTTATGCGCTCCTCCAGGGGTCAGCCACCATACAGGGAGAGCTTACTGACGCGGGCCATTCGGCTGCAGACCTTGTGAGCCTCTGAAAGATCCCAAGCCCTCGCCCTGCGCTGAAATCCGAGGTGCTCTCCGATAGTTTCGCCAGCGAGCAAGCCATGGTGGTGGCAATTGGCACAGTGAGCCCATCAGCGAAAGACACCGAGCACTCGATCGGAACACTCCGCGCCCTGCAGCAACTCCAGGGTACCCAGATGAGTTTCGAGGAAAGAGAAGACATACTCAAGCCGAAGCAGGAAGTGGAACCTTGGCTCCATGAATTCTCCTTGGTTTGGTTTGAACTCGATGCATGCCCGTCTCACCGCAGTTCATGCGTTTGTCGTGATCTGATTTCTTTGAGTTCCCCACACAGGAAGCTCAAGCTCATCCGAAGACCTGGTCCGAGGCAGAGGCAAGATTTGCAGGGAGACGCATGACTCATGACACCTACTGTTGCAGTCAAAGGCACAGCTACTAGCGAGATGTTGACGGCTGAGGTGCGCCAGTGGTTTGAGGAAGCCTGCGGCGGAAAGGCAAAGGCATTCGCTGCAGCGATTTCGAAAGGCACTGATGGCAAGCTCTTTAGATGCGCTTCATTATCGGCCGACTGCATGGTGTCAACATTGGTGGATGGACACACATGTAGTCCACCTTTGAGGAATCTGCTCCGCTGGCCGAACCAGCGATTCACCCAACAGTGCGAGGGCGATGAGGATCTTGGCCACCGCTTGTACCAGGAGAAACTTCAAGTTGTCTTGATACACATATGTCCACTTTCGAGCAGTGCTTCCTGCTCTGTCCAGGAGCTGCGATTGCGAATGCGCGCTGCAGGAGGACCAGCATGAGCCTGTAATTCGCCTGCCGAATTTCAGAGGCAATCTCTTGTCACTTGTCACGACCAAACCATACCCACAAGCAGAAAAATCGAATGATGGAACCCCATTTGTTGTGGTTGAGATGGCCGCAGTCCATGCTCGATAGCATCTTCGTGCTGTGAATACCGTATTTTGCTAGGCCAAGACTCACGCCTTGGTTTAGCCCCATCTTGTCAGTTCTAGTTTGAGCTCTGAGCGAGAGCAGCACAAGCTGCCCTCTTGCTCGTTGCCCGAACTCTTATCGGGAAACGTGGTGGAACTCTTGTTTGACCTCCTGGGATTCCAGAAGAGGTCCCACGGGTCTCCTGGTTTCACGCTCACAGGGGTCCTAGAGTAGTTGAGTTGGGGTGAAGTGTTCGTGTCAAAATCACACCTAGCCGAGCTGCAAAGCGAAAGTCACTAGATGATCGAGTATGCCATGGCTCAGGCTTTCAACCAGCTCGACAGTTCGGAGTCCCAAAAGGCAGTCGCCACCTCAGAGCGCCGGAGGAGTAGACACATGCAAAAGTGATCCGATGCCGAGTTTAGGTGATGTCATTCGCGCGCTTGACGCGCTTGCAACTCAACGACAATCCCTTCGTGCGGGCTCCAGAGAGGATTGAGTTGCAAAGCAGCCCCACAGTGCTTCAACAAAGTGTGCATACACGCACAGAGCAGAGTTGTTGACAGCCATTTCTGTTCTCGTCTCGAGGCCGCAGAGATGATGGAAGACTATCGGCAGAGGACCCGGCAAACCAGCACGAATAGCTGCAGAAGTCGCAGTCGACTGAGCTGTATGATCTGTTTCCGTAAGGCCGTGGGTGCTCAAAGCGGCACCGCAGCTGGAGGCATCAGCGCAGAGCGCAGAGGTTGTGCCAGTGTAGAGTCGAGGCGGATAGCTTAGAAGAGAGCGCAGCTGTTTGCATCAGATGTTGGGCAGGAACTTGACAATGAGACGGTCACTGAGTCTGAGAGGCAGAAGGGATTGGGACTGGTGAAGCGAGCCTGCGTATGCCTGCTTCCCTTTCGTGTCGCGCAGGCGCGAGCTCGACTTGCAAGGCTTTGGACAAGCAGGGCAGGCTGTGACGGTCACCTTGACTGCGAGGCAACTAGTCGCCAGCAAGACTTGTGACAAAAGCTCTTTACAATGCTGCGACATTGCTGGCCGTAAGTTAGTCGGACAGGTCGGCACCAGTCAGGAGCTTGGACTCGTGGTCTTTTCTGCAGACTCTGCCATGTCCTGTACTCCCAGGCCAATGCCCCGCAACATGAAGGCCTTCTAGGTGCGGTCTGTCAAGCCCCATCTTGCTCTCTGCTACAACAGTCTCGCAAATGATGTGTCTGCAAGGCTTGGTGGCCGGGCCTGATGTTGCAGCGAGCCGGCATGCCTGACACGTTCCGGTCCAAGTTGAGATGTCGTGAGTCGCCTGACGCTTCGGAGAGGCGAGCCCAGATCTGCACGCGGTGCCCAGATCGAGCCGAAGGCGACGGTACGAGACTGGCAGGCATGCATCCTGCTACTGCCCGGGTCTGTTGACGTTTGCTCTCGTCACTCTGGCTTCGCCCGCACAACTGCGACGTGGCGCAGTCGTGCTTTTGAAAAAGCCAGGAAGACACAGAAGCATCGACTCGCACCAGCCCCAGGCACGGCAGTTGAGCTGCAAGTGTGAGAATGCGATCATTGAGGTTGCTGCTTCCCCGATCTGACTGTGCACTGCTTCCGGTACTATTCTGTCAGCGTGTCTCCGCACCCTGTTTGCCTTCATCCTTCTGCAAAGTCTTCTACCTGTGTGTCGATCTCGCAAGCTTACTGACGATCATCAAACAGCCGTGTTCCTAACTGACTACCACTACATCATGCTATCCTGGAAATCCTGCACACAGTGCTGTCGCATCCTACTGATGCATGCGGTAAACAAACCATTTGAGCATGGCCGCTTGCCATACGATGTTCTTGGCTCATCTCGTGTGTGGCTGTGTTTGTTCATCCGTGAGAGGCATTGGGACGATGGCAAGCTGGCTGGAGCTTCAGCGACATTTCGGAGGACAGTGGCTGCCCGATGTGCGCGCCGCGTGCCAAGGATGTAGGGTGAAGGAGGATTAGGAGCATGTCATCTCGCTTCCCAGATTGCAACTGTTTCAGCATGTTTCGCCGCACATTTAGGCTTGCTGCTTGGTGCGAGGTGCTACGGTAGTGCAGCAGTTTTCACTTTGTCGCACAGCAAGTCCATTTCCAAGTTTGCGCAACCGTGCACCAACACCGCAGATGTTGAATGCCGCACGAAGCGCTCCATTCGTGCGAGCCTCATCGTTCCCCCAGGGTATACCAAAGAATGAAAATCTTGCATGTGAGGTTGCTCACACAAGGGACGAGCGACGGACTGCGTGACGCCTAGCAACGCGTAACGTAATTCGCCAAAAATTGAATCGCGCAGTCCAGGCTGCGCTGCTTTCGAGCTGCGAAACCAGATCTCACCGCTTTCGTCGCTGTGAAGCCCTTTTCGCGCCAAGCTGAGGGATCTCCCTCAAGGAAGTCTGGTGTTTGTGCCACGTCTTCCAAGGCTTTGCGACGAAGACACGACTTCTGGACATCTTACCTGCAGCTCTGCTTCTCACAATATGATTCGTGCGAACCTTAAGATGAGCCTGAGCGTCTGCCGCTTGTGACTCGCCCGTGGCTATCCCTGTGGTTGTGCGAAGGCTAACGCCATGGCGCGCAAGGTCTGGTGCTGTTTGTCGAACAGCTGCTTTCGTGGCTACCTTATGGCCTTACCTTTCATCCAGCTTAAGTAAGTTCTGATCGCAGAGAGCCAAGAGCATCCAAGAGCCAAGGAGTTGAGAATTCCTGGCTCCGAGAGGCGGTCGGATGCGGGCAGATCGGAGTTTCCTCTGAAATCCTGCCTTCGCCAGGTCAAGCCAGGCCTTGATCCTGAAAGCGCAGTCTCGTCGCCCTGGCAGGTTTTGCAATCGTCGGCCATTGCTGCCAAGTGCCCTCCGGAGGTTGGAGAGGAGTCCTTGCCCGGAGAGCCTTCTCACGACTTTGCCTTGAGCGAGTTTGTGAGGTGGGAGGCCGGTTTTTCGCTGCGTCCCTGCGACATTTCTCTCTCGCAATCGAGGCCATGTCACAGCGACAGCTTCGATGCTTCGTTCAGCTGCAGGTGCTCCGTGACTGCGATCCGATAGATATAGAATGTAGACATGTTGGCTGATGCCGGTAGTCAATGATACACCAATGATGCTCAACAGGCGTTGTGGCGCGGCCATTCTGCTCGGAATGCCATTCGGGCTCGTGGCACAGTTCCCATCCCGCATTATCAGTCTTGTTGTGCTGAAGGCTTTTGGCTGCCAGCATTGAAGGTGCTACCTGGAGACAAGCGCTCGGCCAGGCTCAAACATGCGGCCACACAACTTCAGGCAGAGCTTTACACTCCTGACACTGACGAGACTTTGCCCCTGTGTTTGGATGCAGGCAGCACTCCGTGGCTCTCGCGTGCGTCGAAAACTCCGATGGGCTAAGGAAGTGCTGGACTCCGAGCAACCTAAACGCATGCCTTTAGCAAGCAGGATCTGTCTTCGACCTTTGCAAGGTCGAAGGTGGTGAGCGACGATCTGGAGGAAATGGTTTTTGGAAGCGCATCAGAATCAGCTTCATTGCATCTTCCTGCAGCCCCTTTTCTCACACTGTCACACTGTGAGGACTGTCCAGAGGTGGATTTGGAAGACATGTTGCGCGAAGCTCGTACAGTGGCAAATGCCCCGTGCCTGCATATCTTTCACCAGCTAGCTGCCAAAGATGCCGATGTGTTCAGCTTTCCAAAATGACGGTTAAGGCTGACCCGTTCTCATCCTTGAGTTTGCCCGAATTCAAGGACATGCCTGAGGCTGCGATTGCAGTCGAACGCCTGAGCGTAGATGTTAAAATATTCTCGGTGATGTCGCCTTTGACAGGTACTGAGCCGAAGTCGTCAGAAGAAAGCCGGTAGCTTGGGTTGTGCAGAGCGTTACAGACAGCAGTGCCCATGCTTAGCGGACCTCGCACTGCTAGGAGCCACAACAACACCCTGGCCCGATGGCTGCAGCCCGAGCTGTTTTTCCTTTTTCAATCGCTGCGGGTATGAAAGATCAAGGTGGCATGGACTCCGTTGAACATCGCTCCAGGCCAGGCTGCACGTTTGGAAGTCCTGTCCTTCGCGGAGTCGGAGTTGGCTTGCTTTCTAACTCATTACCTGTCCAAGTACCCTAAGTCCAACTCTTTGTTGTCAGTCTTGCTCTCTCCCTCTCTCTCTCTCTCTCGCTCTCCCTTTCTTGCTGGATTGCCACGGGTCGCAGAGGGGAGTGGTGCAGAGAGGCTCGTCACACGACGCTACCACGGGGCCGGCACCAACCGATGCAGGCAGCGAAGGTGGAAGCACCTTGGACCGTAACCAGGAGCAGTTCCTTGCTCTCGTTGAGTTACTAAGTGTTATCCGAAATCCATGCGCGCCCTGCAGCCGCTGTACAAAAGTTTAGCAGTTTCTGCAGACGTTGGCTGCAAGGTGTCGGGTTTCGGTCTCATGTGCCCGTGCAACAGTACTGCTCCGACCACTACTTGCATCGCTGCTGTTTTCGCATCCAAAATCTCGTGTTTGTTTCTTGGTTTCTTGCTTTTGCTGGTAGCGGAGCCGCGCCGGCTTTCGCCTGTCCTGTGCCCTATCCTTAGAAGAAATGGGATCACACCGGGCCTGGGAGCTGGGGGCGCTTGGGCGGTAGCGGCCGGATGGGTGGCCCGCGGCCCGGGAGCTGGCGGTCTGATGGTCTCGTGGGCGACGGTAGAGAGCGTGAGCTCTGCACCGTCGTGATGCAGTGATGCATCTTAAGAACTTAGTTAGCGTCGTCAAGCGATTCCTGAATACCCGCCGCGTCTATGTGCTTGTCGCTGGCCGCTGCACAAGGAGACAGCGAGGGCGCCCTTACAGTGAAACCTTGTGCCGTGTGGGACAGTACCGGAGTCAAGAGAAAAGTCTGTCCGGAATCGTGCAGGACAAATCGGTGTGCTGAACTGTAGGTTTCTATTGAATGTATGCGTTATGCGGTTTGGCCAGTTCAGGTGCAAAATTCGTCTGCCTATGTACTTCTCTTGTGCAGACTTCACCCAGGTGTGGTGGGCTCACCTCACAGCAGCCGTCCCGGATCGGGCTTCGGCATCGGTTCACTGCTCGGTTTCCGATCTTATGCTTAGTTTGATCGGTTCGCGGACATAGAGTTCTGAAGGCCCACGGAGATCTAGATCACTTTCGTCAACAGCAGAATCTGCTGTGACAGAGCCAGATGGTCCGTCGCTTACATGGTTGTGCTCGATTGAGTCTGTTTGGCCGGGAGCCCGGTAGCATCGTGTCACCCGGCGAGCGAGGTGCAGGCCACGGTTTGCGCACGCGAGTGGAGCAGGCGAAGGCAAGGAAAGTTCGAGAGAAAGTGCGTGCGAAAATGTGCGCGAGAAGTTTTGTCCCGCATTCACTGCTCCCCTGGCAGGATGATTGGGGCTTCCAGGACATGAACTCCAGTCTGGCATTGCAGGATGTTAAGCCGGCCTGAAGACAGGACATTTCCACTGCACGAGCTTGTCTTGCCGCTCAGAAGCGCAGGCAACCAAGGCACGAGGGCACCAGCCTGGCCGCTTGTGTGCACAATGCTGGACGGTGCCCGCTTCCAGACCTCCGACACTTCCGGGACATGCTCCTTCGCGCAGCAGCCCAGCTCCTGGCGATGTTGGATTGAATACAAGTCGGCTCGAATCGATAAGCCAGCATGTTGTGGTGAGCCACCACCACCCAGGCACTGGCCGACAACCTGTTTCGACCTTGGCTCGGAATAAGTTGCAGACTTAACTTCTGGCGAAGAAACCAGGTTCTTTTTGTGCGTGCGACTGCTGCGGGTATGCTGACAGGCAGAGCAGCCAGTCAGCTGGTCCACCGAAGCGTGGCGGAGGCAAACAAACCATTGTACTGGTCTTGAAATTGTCGTGGCAGCTCGCTCTGATATGATATGAGAAACATTTGATTGCGAAGCACACCTACATTTGCGTATAAGGAATCATATGTTCCTCAACGAAGTACAGAACACTTTCACGTGGCCTATCATCCCAGATTTTCTTTCTTCTGCGCAGGCTGCCAAAAGGCTCAGGATGCCATTGCCGAGTACCGGCGCCTTCAGGAGGCCATGCGATGGGGACATTTTGGTCTACGAGTTGTCAGAGATTTCTTATGGTCTATTACGGACAGAGTATGTATATGATGGCACATCACAGATTATTATTAAGTATTGTATGGTAACTTTGGAATTTCGTAATGTAGAGAGGCAGACCTGTGCAAGCACGCGCAGGCGGATTCCGCGGCAAACAACAGCGGGCCTACGGAGTTCCGATCCGGATCTCCCAACAGGAAGCCCCTTGGCTGTATTCGTCAAGCTTCTGTTGGACATGGGAAACGAGTGCTCAAACGAGGGAAGCCTGGGAGCAACGGTTGAAGTTTGCTACTTCCAGACCCACAGACCGTGGCCGAGGTTAATGCGCAGTTCCCAAAGTTTGGGCTGAAGCAGCGACAAGTGATTACCCCACCCCTGAGTTTCACCAAACGTGGCCGCACCAATGTACAGCGAGGGGGCTGAAAGTATTTCGGGGAGCTTGGGCTCAGAATCCCAGACGTCTACGTGTTCGGGATATTATGTTTGTTGTTGTTTCACCAGTCATAAGTATATCTTATCATATAAGGGATAAAGATATTGATTCAATATTGGATGCATACTCAGATTCGATCTCAAGCTTAGATTCGTAGGCTTTTGGATGTATTCAATATTCCATTCTTATCTATTTTTGGTTTGGGAATTATTCCATTTAGGATTTTGAATGAATATGAATATATATTTTCGCATTTCCTGGCATTCAGTGGTGTCCGCTGCTTAATTAAAACTTGCATTCATCCCGAAAGGGCCGAAATGGCGCTTCCACGGGGTGGGCCCAAAATTTCCCAGGGGCACGGATTATTGGTCTGTGCTTCTTTACAACACAGTCCCATACTTCCCTGAGCAGATTGGGCAACAAAGAAACCGGGTCTCTAAGCACGGCAGAATTCAAAAGCTCGCCCCTGCCACGATTCCATTCTGCTTCCCAGTTGTCGGGCAGGATGAACAGCGAACTTCGTAGGGTCTCGTGCTCCTCGAATTGGCTAGTTTGGTCCTCAGGCAAGTGGGCTGAGAGAACCCCCGTCCAATCAATACTACCCATGTGCTGATGGAACGAGCCGCTTCAGGAGATCATTCTCCTCCTCTGCGACGCCGTCAACTCTAGACGGCATGTAGCAGCATGCCCTTCCCTGATCGATCGGACAATCGTAACGAATTCCTGCTCATCCCATTGTCCCAAATCCTTGTCTGTATGAATGCCCTCGATCTCGCTGATCATGGTCTCCACAACTTGTTGGATCTCTTCAGGGTAAAGCGGCTGCTTTCGGATTGCATTGTAGACGTCCTTCTCGAGCCCTTCTTCTGATCCTCCGTCCAAGGTAGCTTCGGAAATCGCCCTATATAGGCTCTTTTGCCACCGGTTCCACAGGACTTCGTCTGTTCGGGGCAGCGGTTCCCCCCACTGGCTTCGGCGCTGCAGGGGTGAAATTCGCTGCTTCCTCTCGCCGCCTTTTGATGCTTCCATATCCCGGGGGAGCCTGTTGGTTCGGCTGGAAGGTCCTGCGGAGGGTTCTGACACATTTGGTGGAAGCTCTGAGATGGTCCTCCAACCTTCCCTGTGTCCAGAATTCACAGTTATATGCTTTGCAACGACTGCCTTCCAGAAACTCCCGATACTCCGCCTGCCGTCCATGTGTCTTGAAGAAGTGTACTCCAAGACCTGATCGTTTACGAAAAGTTTTCTGGCACATTCGGCATGTCCAGGCTGTAGCACGCTGCGTTCCACTCTCCACAGCTGCCACCATCTTGTACATGTACCACAAGCAAACATGCACAGCAGTCTCCTCTTGGAATTGCAGGAAGTCATCCGCATTTCGGCGTGCCACTCTCCTTTTGACACGTTCCGGTTGTTGTCTGAGCACATGCCACCATTGTGGCCAAGCTGTCCTTGTGACCTCAGGCCATTGCTCGACATCGTGTCCCACCAACCATCGTAGGTCCTCTCTGACTACCTTGCACCAAGTAGCCTCATTCTGTAACATCGCCCACAACAATGGGGGCCCCGAGCGGACCATCGAGATCAGTGTAGAGATCCGTGCTCGTCTGGCAAAGTAGTCCAGAGGCCAACAACCCGTCGCCCAATGTGCCAAAGGCAACGGTATCTTGTAGAAAGCGTCTCCAGTAACTTCGCGACACAAAAGCCGCCGCACTGTCCTGGAGAAGTTGTCGCACATCGCATCCCAACTTGGGCATCCGGGCACCCAGAGCTCAAGATTGAAATAAGTGGAGACCACTGCACTCCGGAACAACGACGTTCTTGTTTCCAGACTCAGGTCTCTGTTTTGCAACAGGAGGTCTTTGGCACTGTCATATGCAGTGGAAGCCATAGCTGTGCGGTAGCGGTGCTCATGTCGTAGTGCCATAGTTGGGTCCATCATCGCTCCAAGATGTTTGTAGGTAGGTACCATATGGACACTTTCATCCAGGTCTGGGAGGTAGATGAGCGGGCGGCCATTTCCGAAGACTTGTCGTCGCACCGTCGTTGCACCCTTCCCACAAAGTCTCAAGAGCACGCTGGTCTTGTTTCTTTTCAAGTTTGGGTCGAGTCCGTGTGCTCTGAAGGCAGTGATAACTACACTGGTGATCCTGCTGACCTTACAGAGCAGTTTCGGTGCCTCCTCATCTTCGGTCACATAGGCTGTGTCGTCCGCCCACGTGGTATCCCACATGGGCTCGCTCTCTCCTTCCGGCTGTACTGGGAAAGGGCCGCCTTCCGGATCATATGGCAAAGCACCATTGATGTCCTCGCCAACCAATACCTCATGTACCCGGTGCAGGATACGGGTGTAGAGGAAAGCAAACACACAATCCGCCCACGAGGCGCCTGGGCGGGATCCAGCTACCGAGTGGCACAACTTGTCGCCTGCAGAGAACCGTGACGTAAACCAAGTGTATCGGTGGAAATCCTGAACGGAGGCTTTGATCGGCTCAGGGGTTCCCGCTTGTTGGAGCATTCCCCCTTCTCGTATCAGGCCCCATAGTTCAGATATATCCTCTCCGTCCATCCCGAACCGGTAGAACAGTTCTTCAATGGAGCGGTCCAATCGCAGGTCTCCAACCACCAGGTCCCTGACCAATCTGTAGTACGCACTCCGCGTGTCGACAAATAGCACAGCTGCCGACTTGCGCATCTTGGCGCATCTCCGCAGATGGCTAGCGACGTACATCGACGAGAAACTGATAGGTGGCCCTGGTCTGGTGCCACAATGAAGTGGGTGCAGGGCCTCCTCTACGTCATCATCGACCTTGCGGCGCATTGCGCGGTGCAGTGCTTTTGCAGGGAAACTTGAAATGTACAAGCTTCGGTAGTTTTCTGCTAAACACTTCTGTCCGCTGTGCTTGTATGATTCGTACAGCACGCCTCCTCTCCACTGAATAGGTTGCCTCCCAAGAAGCAATGCTTTCATATAGAGAGGTTGTAGGAGACGCGTTACCGCGACTGGGCAAGCACACAGCACATCGCTGGGAATTTGGTCAAGCCCAGCTGCTTTTCCAGGCTTGATGCCCCTCATCACGCGCTCCAAATCCCTCGCCGACGGGAGATGCTGCCACTCCCATTCCATACTTCTGCTTTCCTGCCATGCAGCCACCTCCTCAATGAAGTCCTTCGTGGATTTGATCGTGCCGGCCTCCTGGTCACCAAAATACCGAAGCCAGATGTCATCTCTGTCCTCCGCACACGAGGCCGCTCGGCCCGAGCTTGGGTCGAGTAGCTTCGGCAACTCCCGGCTGAAGGGTTTTCTCGCCTTCGCACCAAGGCCAGCTCGCTTGGCCCTCTGCATAATGGCGCCAACATTTTGGTGACCTTCTGTAGCAACCTTCCGTAGGAACTGGTCCTTGGCCTTGGCAATGCCTGTCTTGATCGGGTGGGTGGCATAACGGACCGCAGCTGCCACCAGTTCATACATGAGCTGTCGGTGGCGAAGGCCAGCCTGGGTGTCCTCCTTATCCGTATTTCTCCAGATTGCCCAGGCATCGCTCAGACTGAGACGCCAGCTGTAGCGCCGATTCTTGGTTCGGCTTCTCAGACGGTTCTTCTGTTGCCGTAGGTCCCACACTTCATCCGGTATGTAGGAGGCATGTCCCAGGCTTCCGTCGATCGCGAAGTCGGCCTTTAGGGTGGCAAGCATGTGCTCTTGGATGAGTCTATAATGCTCATCAGGGTGTGTGGCCCACACCGGCTGCACAAAGCTGGCACAGGCTTGCTCCAAGATGTGTCGGCCAGATTCCGATCTGATCTTGTCACCATCATACCGGAGTCTCTGCAGTCGCGGTCTTTGGCTTCCTCGCTTAAGGCATCCCTCAACGTCCACACAGGCAGCCCTGTGATCATCATTGGGGCTGCCATTGTCCAAGTCCTGGTTCACATAGCTTTTAGCCGCCACGACCTCCGCCTTGCCTCCCAAGAGGAGGTAGTCTATTCTGCTTTCTCCACCCAATGTGTGCCTATGTGTCCACGAGCTTCCTTGATGCAGGCTGGAGAACATCGATGGTGCCCAGAGTCCATTGTCCTTAAGCAGCTCAGCACACATTCTCCCAGTACTGTCGGGCTCCTCGCAGTCCAAGTCTCCACTGACGGGCGGATAGTCCGGGGGGAGCTTTCCGTTGAGGTCTATGCCACAAACAACCAATTGCACTTTCTTCAATTGGGATATAACCTCCCCAAACTTCTGCAAGAATTGGTTGCGCTCCTGTAATCGGCCACTATGTGGGCAATGGGCTGAGATGAGTCCCAAGTTGGCACCATCCACCACCACTCGGATGGCCAACATCCTGAGGTCCTCATGCACAATTGTAATCGCCGCTTCATCAGGTGCAACAGGTTGGCCATTGCAAAGCATAAATCCACCACGTTTGCGCAGCCAGATAGCTGTGCCCCAATGTCTGCATCCATCGGTCGCTAGCCGTAGATACCTTCGACTGGAACACACTCCTCCTGCTTGCTTGGTTTCCTGTAGGAACATCACTCCAAGGCCCGCGTGTTCGCCTTGTTCTTCTAAGTATCGTTGGCTGCCTCCCATGCCCTGGATGTTGAAAGTTCCTGCAGAGAGTGCAAACTTCACGTCACCATTTCCCTCGCCCCCACCGACCGTGGGCACGATCTGAGACGGGGTGATGGTTGATCTCGGGAGTGGCTGTTCATCCCAGCAGAGGCCACCTTTGTCAATGCATAGGGCCCCTGTTTTGGCTGCCGACAGCTCCAGTCCTACCCATGCCATATTGGTCCGTAGAAAGGCATCAACTGCTTGCTGAGGTGGTTCATGAAAGTGACAATGTCCTTTCATGGCCGCCTTTGCAACAGAGTCTGCCAGTTCGTTCCATTCGTGGCCTGAGTGGCCTTTTACGTGGATG